AGATCCTTGTAGCCTTCATGGTCAGTGCTACAGTCTAGAAACTTGAAGCCTTCATGGACAGTGCTTCAGTCTAGAAACGTGTAGCCTTCATGGACAGTGCTTCAGTCTAGAAACTTGTAGCCTTCATGGACAGTGTTACAGTCTAGAAACTTGTAGCCTTCATGGTCAGTGCTACAGTCTAGGAACTTGTAGCCTTCATGGACAGTGCTACAGTCTAGAAACTTGTAGCCTTCATGGACAGTGCTACAGTCTAGAAACTTGTAGCCTTCATGGACAGTGCTACAGTCTAGAAACTTGTAGCCTTCATGGACAGTGTTGCAGTCTAGACACTTGTGGCCTTCATGGACAGACAGTCTAGAAACTTGTAGCCTTCATGGACAGTGCTACAGTCTAGACACTTGTAGCCTTCATGGACAGTGCTACAGTCTAGAAACTTGTAGCCTTCATGGACAGTGCTACAGTCTAGAAACTTGTAGCCTTCATTATCAGTGCTACAGTCTAGAAACTTGTAACCTTCATGGACAGTGCTACAGTCTAGAAACTTGTAGCCTTCATGGATAGTGCTTCAGTCTAGAAACTTGTAGCCTTCATGGTCAGACAGTCTAGAAACTTGTAGCCTTCATGGACAGACAGTCTAGAAACTTGTAGCCTTCATGGTCAGTGCTACAGTCTAGAAACTTGTAGCCTTCATGGACAGTGCTACAGTCTAGAAACTTGTAGCCTTCATGGTCAGTGCTACAGTCTAGAAACGTGTAGCCTTCATGGATAGTGCTTCAGTCTAGAAACTTGTAGCCTTCATGGTCAGACAGTCTAGAAACTTGTAGCCTTCATGGTCAGTGCTACAGTCTAGAAACTTGTAGCCTTCATGGTCAGTGCTACAGTGTAGAAACTTGTAGCCTTCATGGACAGTGCTACAGTGTAGAAACTTGTAGCCTTCATGGACAGTGTTACAGTCTAGAAACTTGTAGCCTTCATGGTCAGTGCTACAGTCTAGAAACTTGTAGCCTTCATTATCAGTGCTACAGTCTAGAAACTTGTAGCCTTCATGGTCAGTGCTACAGTCTAGAAACTTGTAGCCTTCATGGTCAGTGTTACAGTCTAGAAACTTGTAGCCTTCATGGACAGTGCTACAGTCTAGAAACTTGTAGCCTTCATGGTCAGTGCTACAGTCTAGAAACTTGTAGCCTTCATGGACAGTGCTACAGTCTAGAAACTTGTAGCCTTCACTGACAGTGCTACAGTCTAGAAACTTGTAGCCTTCATGGACAGTGTTACAGTCTAGAAACTTGTAGCCTTCATGGTCAGTGCTACAGTCTAGAAACTTGTAGCCTTCATTATCAGTGCTACAGTCTAGAAACTTGTAGCCTTCATGGTCAGTGCTTCAGTCTAGAAACTTGTAGCCTTCATGGACAGTGCTACAGTCTAGAAACTTGAAGCCTTCATGGTCAGTGCTACAGTCTAGAAACTTGAAGCCTTCATGGTCAGTGTTACAGTTAAGACACTTGTAGCCTTCATGGTCAGAGCTACAGTCTAGAAACTTGTAGCCTTCATGGTCAGTGCTACAGTCTAGAAACTTGTAGCCTTCATGGTCAGTGCTACAGTCTAGAAACTTGAAGCCTTCATGGACAGTACTACAGTCTAGACACTTGTAGCCTTTATGGACAGTGTTACAGTCTAGACACTTGTAGCCTTCATGGACAGTGCTACAGTCTAGAAACTTGAAGCCTTCATGGTCAGTGCTACAGTCTAGAAACTTGTAGCCTTCATGGTCAGTGCTACAGTCTAGAAACGTGAAGCCTTCATGGTCAGTGTTACAGTCTAGACACTTGTAGCCTTCATGGTCAGAGCTACAGTCTAGAAACTTGTAGCCTTCATGGTCAGTGCTACAGTCTAGAAACTTGTAGCCTTCATGGTCAGTGCTTCAGTCTAGAAACTTGTAGCCTTCATGGACAGTGCTACAGTCTAGAAACTTGTAGCCTTCATGGTCAGTGCTACAGTCTAGAAACTTGAAGCCTTCATGGTCAGTGTTACAGTCTAGACACTTGTAGCCTTCATGGTCAGTGCTACAGTCTAGAAACTTGTAGCCTTCATGGTCAGTGCTACAGTCTAGAAACTTGAAGCCTTCATGGACAGTGCTACAGTCTAGAAACTTGTAGCCTTCATGGACAGTGCTACAGTCTAGAAACTTGTAGCCTTCATGGACAGTGTTGCAGTCTAGACACTTGTAGCCTTCATGGACAGACAGTCTAGAAACTTGTAGCCTTCATGGACAGTGCTACAGTCTAGACACTTGTGGCCTTCATGGACAGTGCTACAGTCTAGAAACTTGTAGCCTTCATGGACAGTGCTACAGTCTAGAAACTTGTAGCCTTCATGGTCAGTGCTACAGTCTAGAAACTTGTAGCCTTCATGGTCAGTGCTACAGTCTAGAAACTTGTAGCCTTCATGGTCAGTGCTACAGTCTAGAAACTTGTAGCCTTCATGGACAGTGCTACAGTGTAGAAACTTGTAGCCTTCATGGACAGTGTTACAGTCTAGAAACTTGTAGCCTTCATGGTCAGTGCTACAGTCTAGAAACTTGTAGCCTTCATTATCAGTTCTACAGTCTAGAAACTTGTAGCCTTCATGGTCAGTGCTACAGTCTAGAAACTTGTAGCCTTCATGGTCAGTGCTACAGTCTAGAAACTTGTAGCCTTCATGGACAGTGCTACATTCTAGAAACTTGTAGCCTTCATGGTCAGTGCTACAGTCTAGAAACTTGTAGCCTTCATGGACAGTGCTACAGTCTAGAAACTTGTAGCCTTCATGGACAGTGCTACAGTCTAGAAACTTGTAGCCTTCATGGACAGTGTTACAGTCTAGAAACTTGTAGCCTTCATGGTCAGTGCTACAGTCTAGAAACTTGTAGCCTTCATTATCAGTGCTACAGTCTAGAAACTTGTAGCCTTCATGGTCAGTGCTTCAGTCTAGAAACTTGTAGCCTTCATGGACAGTGCTACAGTCTAGAAACTTGAAGCCTTCATGGTCAGTGCTACAGTCTAGAAACTTGAAGCCTTCATGGTCAGTGTTACAGTTTAGACACTTGTAGCCTTCATGGTCAGAGCTACAGTCTAGAAACTTGTAGCCTTCATGGTCAGTGCTACAGTCTAGAAACTTGTAGCCTTCATGGTCAGTGCTACAGTCTAGAAACTTCAAGCCTTCATGGACAGTACTACAGTCTAGACACTTGTAGCCTTTATGGACAGTGTTACAGTCTAGACACTTGTAGCCTTCATGGACAGTGCTACAGTCTAGAAACTTGAAGCCTTCATGGTCAGTGCTACAGTCTAGAAACTTGTAGCCTTCATGGTCAGTGCTACAGTCTAGAAACGTGAAGCCTTCATGGTCATTGTTACAGTCTAGACACTTGTAGCCTTCATGGTCAGAGCTACAGTCTAGAAACTTGTAGCCTTCATGGTCAGTGCTACAGTCTAGAAACTTGTAGCCTTCATGGTCAGTGCTACAGTCTAGAAACTTGTAGCCTTCATGGTCAGTGCTACAGTCTAGAAACTTGTAGCCTTCATGGTCAGTGCTTCAGTCTAGACACTTGTAGCCTTCATGGACAGTGCTACAGTCTAGAAACTTGTAGCCTTCATGGTCAGTGCTACAGTCTAGAAACTTGAAGCCTTCATGGTCAGTGTTACAGTCTAGACACTTGTAGCCTTCATGGTCAGAGCTACAGTCTAGAAACTTGTAGCCTTCATGGTCAGTGCTACAGTCTAGAAACTTGTAGCCTTCATGGTCAGTGCTACAGTCTAGAAACTTGAAGCCTTCATGGACAGTGCTACAGTCTAGACACTTGTAGCCTTTATGGACAGTGTTACAGTCTAGACACTTGTAGCCTTCATGGACAGTGCTACAGTCTAGAAACTTGAAGCCTTCATGGTCAGTGCTACAGTCTAGAAACTTGTAGCCTTCATGGTCAGTGCTACAGTCTAGAAACGTGAAGCCTTCATGGTCAGTGTTACAGTCTAGACACTTGTAGCCTTCATGGTCAGAGCTACAGTCTAGAAACTTGAAGCCTTCATGGTCAGTGCTTCAGTCTAGAAACTTGTAGCCTTCATGGACAGTGTTACAGTCTAGAAACTTGTAGCCTTCATGGTCAGTGTTACAGTCTAGAAACTTGAAGCCTTCATGGACAGTGCTACAGTCTAGAAACTTTTAGCCTTCACTGAAAGTGCTACAGTCTAGAAACTTGTAGCCTTCATGGTCAGTGTTACAGTCTAGAAACTTGTAGCCTTCATGGTCAGTGTTACAGTCTAGAAACTTGTAGCCTTCATGGACAGTGCTACAGTCTAGACACTTGTGGCCTTCATGGACAGACAGTCTAGAAACTTGTAGCCTTCATGGACAGTGCTACAGTCTAGAAACTTGTAGCCTTCATGGTCAGTGCTACAGTCTAGAAACTTGTAGCCTTCATGGACAGTGCTACAGTCTAGAAACTTGTAGCCTTCATGGACAGTGCTACAGTCTAGAAACGTGAAGCCTTCATGGACAGTGCTACAGTCTAGAAACTTGTAGCCTTCATGGACAGTGCTTCAGTCTAGACACTTGTAGCCTTCATGGTCAGTGCTACAATGAAAAGACTGCCTGCCAGTCTGCCCATGGCAGGTAACTTTAATGTTCCTCCTCCTGCCCGAATGTCTGTCACATAACTTTGAGACTACTTGTGAATTCAGTTTTACTGTAACTCCTTGTAGATTATCAAGTTGTTTGCATTATTTCCATTGAATCAAGACGTGATTTGTCGCTTATATTTTGCGATTTTTCAATATTTAAAATGTGTGAATGCGGGGCGGTAACTTCAAACTTGGACAGGCAACGCTTATGGGTACACCTGCCCGACCATCTTTGGGGTTTTTAAAAATCTTTCAAACACTGGCCATTACCACAAAACTTTCTCTTGGCCGTCACTAATGCATTGTCTGTTCGGTGACAATACTGATATTGTTCTCTTTCAGATAGCTTCACTGAAGCCGGCTGATCCCAGTCAATCCCTAGACAGACAGACGGACAACAAGCCAAAGTCAAAGTATGCTTAACCCTCTGCATTATTACAAATATAGCACATTTCAGAAAACAATTTGTTTACCTTGTTTTCGAGACATATTCAAATGCGACCCGATAGGCAACTTTTATTATAACAAATTACAGTGATGTTATGATACGTTTATATTATCAGTGCACAGTGTATTATAGAAAACGCAACTTTTACAAATTTCATTCATGTCATCATGTTTGTAAATCCTAAATTAGCATTAACTTACCTGAGTCTGGCATTGTTGTGAAACGATTTACTTGGAAGAAACAGGAGTTTCAACCGTCAGTTTGTGCACAGGGGTTAACTACTAGTTAGATGCCAGATCCCATTGGTCCCTCTGAGGAATTCTGGCTATGATGTACTAAAAGTAGGGTATTTGGAGGAATTATCAAACAATAGTAAGTTTTGGGGAGGTGGAAGGTACTACTTGCTGATGTCATGGAGGTAGTATACACAATAGTACCCAATGATTTCTGTTGTTTGATCTTTGTATGTATCATTGTAACATTAGAAACGAAAATGACATGTCTACTGAATGTCAAGGTAATCTTTGAGGTTACTGTCAAAATGTGTTTGATCCTTCAATGCCAGAACATATATGGTATTTCAAGACTTTAGAACCTTTAAGAAATTGGCGGTGGGAAAGCTGCTGTGTTTGCAAGTTTAGCATCAAACTTCACAATTTTCTGGGGTCCTTGGGGATGTTCAGAAATAGTATTTAGCCCTAGTATCCCTACATACTCAACTCTACAATTACCGGTACAAGGACTCTTGACTTTCATGTGAAAGTAAATTATTATTGTTGACATATTCTGAGACATCACCTTTTTAAGGTGAGGTATACTTAGGTATCACCTGAATAGTGACATGAATTGAGACATCACCTCTATAGTGACTTGAACTGACACATCACCTGTATAGTGACATGAACTGAGACATCACTTGTATAGTGACATGTATTGAGACATCACCTCTATAGTGACATAAACTGACACATCACCTGTATAGTGACATGAACTGAGACATCACCTGTATAGTGACATTTAACTGACACATCACCTGTATAGTGATGTTTATCTGACACCTCAGCTGCATAGTGACATAAACTGAGACATCACCTGTATAGTGACATGAATTGAGACATCACCTGTATAGTGACATGAACTGAGACATCGCCTGTATAGTGACATGAACTGAGACATCACATCTATAGTGACATAAACTGACACATCACCTGTATAGTGACATTAACTGAGACATCACCTGTATAGTGACATTTAACTGACACATCACCTGTATAGTGATGTTTATCTGACACCTCAGCTGCATAGTGACATAAACTGAGACATCACCTGTATAGTGACATGAATTGAGACATCACCTGTATAGTGACATGAACTGAGACATCACCTGTATAGTGACATGAACTGAGACATCACCTGTATAGTGACATGAACTGAGACATCACCTGTATAGTGACATGAATTGAGACATCACCTGTATAGTGACATGAACTGAGACATCACCTGTATAGTGACATGAACTGAGACATCACCTCTATAGTGACGTGAATTGAGACATCACCTGTATAGTGACATGAATTGAGACATCGCCTGTATAGTGACATGAACTGAGACATCACCTGTATAGTGACATGAACTGAGACATCACCTGTATAGTGACATGAATTGAGACATCACCTGTATAGTGACATGAATTGAGACATCACCTCTATAGTGACATGAACTGAGACATCACCTCTATAGTGACATGAATTGAGACATCACCTGTATAGTGACATGAACTGAGTCATCACCTGTATAGTGACATGAACTGAGACATCGCCTGTATAGTGACATGAACTGAGACATCACCTGTATAGTGACATGAATTGAGACATCACCTGTATAGTGACATGAACTGAGACATCACCTGTATAGTGACTTGAACTGAGACATCACCTGTATAGTGACATGAATTGAGACATCACCTGTGTAGTGACATGAACTGAGACATCACCTGTATAGTGACATGAATTGAGACATCACCTGTATAGTGACATGAACTGAGACATCACCTGTATAGTGACATGAACTGAGACATCACCTCTATAGTGACATGAATTGAGACATCACCTGTATAGTGACATGAATTGAGACATCACCTGTATAGTGACATGAACTGAGACATCGCCTGTATAGTGACATGAACTGAGACATCACCTGCATAGTGACATGAACTAAGACATCACCTGTATAGTGACATGAATTGAGACATCACCTGTGTAGTGACATGAACTGAGACATCACCTGTATAGTGACATGAATTGAGACATCACCTGTATAGTGACTTGAACTGAGACATCACCTGCATAGTGACAAGAACTGACACATCACCTCTATAGTGACATTAACTGACACATCACCTGTATAGTGACTTGAACTGAGACATCACCTGTATAGTGACATGAACTGAGACATCACCTGTATAGTGACATGAATTGAGACATCACCTGTATAGTGACATGAACTGAGACATCGCCTGTATAGTGACATGAACTGAGACATCACCTGTATAGTGACATGAACTGAGACATCACCTGTATAGTGACATGAATTGAGACATCACCTGTATAGTGACATGAATTGAGACATCACCTGTATAGTGACATGAATTGAGACATCACCTGTATAGTGACATGAACTGACACATCACCTCTAAAGTGACATAAACTGAGACATCACCTCTATAGTGACATGAACTGACACATCACCTGTATAGTGACATGAACTGAGACATCACCTGTATAGTGACATGAACTGAGACATCACCTGTATAGTGACATGAATTGAGACATCACCTGTATAGTGACATGAACTGAGACATCACCTGTATAGTGACATGAACTGAGACATCACCTGTATAGTGACATGAATTGAGACATCACCTGTATAGTGACTTGAACTGAGACATCACCTGTATAGTGACATGAATTGAGACATCACCTGTGTAGTGACATGAACTGAGACATCACCTGTATAGTGACATGAATTGAGACATAACCTGTATAGTGACTGGAACTGAGACATCACCTGTATAGTGACATGAATTGAGACATCACCTGTATAGTGACATGAACTGAGACATCACCTGTATAGTGACATGAATTGAGACATCACCTGTATAGTGACTTGAACTGAGACATCACCTGTATAGTGACATGAATTGAGACATCACCTGTGTAGTGACATGAACTGAGACATCACCTGTATAGTGACATGAATTGAGACATCACCTGTATAGTGACTTGAACTGAGACATCACCTGTATAGTGACAAGAACTGACACATCACCTGTATAGTGACTGGAACTGAGACATCACCTGTATAGTGACATGAATTGAGACATCACCTGTATAGTGACATGAACTGAGTCATCATCTGTATATTGACATGAATTGAGACATCACCTGTATATAGCGACATGAACTGAGACATCACCTGTATAGTGACATGAACTGACACATCACCTGTATAGTGACATGAACTAAGACATCACCTCTATAGTGACATTAACTGACACATCACCTGTATAGTGACATGAATTGAGACATCACCTGTATAGTGACATGAACTGAGACATCACCTGTTTAGTGACATGAACTGAGACATCACCTGTATAGTGACATGAACTGACACATCACCTGTTTAGTGACGTTTATCTGACACATCACCTGTATAGTGACATGAACTGAGACATCACCTGTATAGTGACACGAACTGAGACATTACCTGTATAGTGACATGAACTGACACATCACCTGTATAGTGACATGAACTAAGACATCACCTGTTTGGTGATATGAATTGACACATCACCTGTATAGTGTACATGAACAGAGACATTACCTGTATAGTGACATGAACTGACACATCACCTGTATAGTGACATGAATTGAGACATCACCTGTTTGGTGACATGAATTGACACATCACCCGTATAGTGTACATGAACTGAGACATCACCTGTTTAGTGACATGAACTAAGACATCACCTGTATAGTGACTTGAACTGTGACATCACTTGTATAGTGACATGAACTGAGACATCACCTGTATAGTGACATAAACTGAGACATCACCTGTATAGTGACATGAATTGAGACATCACCTGTATAGTGACATGAATTGAGACATCACCTGTATAGTGACATGAACTGAGACATCACCTGTATAGTGACATGAACTGACACATCACCTGTTTAGTGACGTTTATCTGACACATCACCTCTATAGTGACATGAACTGAGACATCACCTGTATAGTGACACGAACTGAGACATTACCTGTATAGTGACATGAACTGACACATCACCTCTATAGTGACATGAACTGACACATCACCTGTATAGTGACATGAACTGAGACATCACCTGTATAGTGACATGAACTGACACATCACCTCTATAGTGACATGAACTGAGACATCACCTGTATAGTGACATTAATTGACACATCACCTGTATAGTGACATGAACTGACACATCACCTGTATAGTGACATGAATTGAGACATCACCTGTTGAGTGACATGAACTGACACATCACCTGTACATTGTGACAATAACTGACACATCACCTGTATAGTGACATGAACTGAGACATCACCTGTATAGTGACGTTTATCTGACACATCACCTGTATAGTGACATGAACTGAGACATCACCTGTATAGTGACATGAACTGAGGCGTCACCTGTATAGTGAAGTTTATCTGACACATCACCTGTATAGTGACATGAACTGAGACATCACCTGTATAGTGACATGAACTGAGACATCACGTGTATAGTGACATGAACTGAGACATCACCTGTATAGTGACGTTTATCTGACACATCACCTGTATAGTGACATGAACTGAGACATCACCTGTATAAGTGACATTTATCTGACACATCACCTGTATTGTGACGTTTATCTGACACATCACCTTTATAGTGACATGAATTAAGACATCACCTGTTTGGTGATATGAATTGACACATCACCTGTATAGTGTACAGAACAGAGACATTACCTGTATAGTGACATGAACTGACACATCACCTGTATAGTGACATGAATTGAGACATCACCTGTTTGGTGACATGAATTGACACATCACCTGTATAGTGTACATGAACTGAGACATCACCTGTTTAGTGACATGAACTAAGACATCACCTGTATAGTGACTTGAACTGAGACATCACTTGTATAGTGACATGAACTGAGACATCACCTGTATAGTGACATGAATTGAGACAACACCTGTATAGTGACATAAACTGAGACATCACCTGTATAGTGACATGAATTGAGACATCACCTGTATAGTGACATGAATTGAGACATCACCTGTATAGTGACATGAACTGAGACATCACCTGTATAGTGACATGAACTGACACATCACCTGTATAGTGACATGAACTGAGACATCACCTCTTGAGTGACATGAACTGAGACATCACCTGTATAGGACGTTTATCTCTCACATCACCTCTATAATGACATGAATTGAGACATCACCTCTTGAGTGACATGAACTGAGACATCACCTTTTATAGTGACATGAACTGAGACATCACCTCTTGAGTGACATGAACTGAGACATCACCTTTATAGTGACATGAACTGAGACATCACCTGTATAGTGACATGAACTGAGACATCACCTGTTTAGTGACATGAACTGAGACATCACCTGTATAGTGACGTTTATCTGACACATCACCTGTATTGTGACATGAACTGACACATCACCTGTATAGTGACATGAACTGAGACATCACCTGTATAGTGACATGAACTGAGACATCACCTGTATAGTGATGTTTTTCTGACACATCACCTGTATAGTGACATGAACTGACACATCACCTGTATAGTGACATGAACTGAGACATCACCCGTATAGTGACACGAACTGAGACATCACCTGTATAGTGACATGAACTGAGACATCACCTGTATAGTGACATGAATTGAGACATCACCTGTATATTGACATGAACTGACACATCACCTCTATAGTGACATAAACTGAGACATCACCTCTATAGTGACATGAACTGACACATCACCTGTATAGTGACATGAACTGACACATCACCTCTATAGTGACATAAACTGAGACATCACCTCTATAGTGACATAAAGTGAGACATCACCTGTATAGTGACTTGTACTGAGACATCACCTGTATAGTGACTTGTACTGAGACATCACCTGTATATTGACATGAATTATGTTTCAGGAAAGACTTAGCAGTACAGCAGAGGGAATATAAGAGGAAGAAAGCCCAGAAGAAAGCACAGCGAATGAAGATGTTAGAGGAAGAACGCGAGCAGGAGAAGAGCAAGTGGCAGTCATTCAATGCCAAGGTGAGCCAGTCATTTGATGCTGAGCACAATGCAACTTTCTGGATTTCTTGTATTTGATAAGATTAATCTTTCATAATCCCACTTACTTCACTTAAAATATATGCATCAATCTTTCATCATCCAATTCTCACATGTGAAATAGCTTTCTCATTGAATAATTATAAGATTTCTCTTGAAATAGGTCCATGTGCATCAATCATTGGTTATCCATTCATCACATGCGAAACAGCTTCCTTATTTCTTCACTTGAAATAGGTCCATATGCATCAATCACTCATCAAATTCTGACATGCGAAATAGCTGCTTTATTAAGCACCCTATACATGTAATTTACAATTACAAAAAGATTTCCAAAAAAATTTTGTCAGCGCATGATTTCAACAAACTGCTGGAAACGTTTCTAATGCAAGAAGAATGGTTTGAAAAGTTCGGTATTGAACTCACTTATATAACATTTTCATTTGTGGTTTAAAATGCCCCACTCAGAAATATTCCAGCTTTTTGATGGTCGTCATAAAGCTGTAAATAATCAAGTAGTCTGGACTAGACAATCCAGTGATTGACGTCATGAGCTTCAATCTATGCAATTGGGATACGATGACATGCATTAACCAAGTCTGCGAGCCTGACAACCCGATTCTATTAGTTGCCTCTTACGGCAAACATTGGTTACTGAAGACCTATTCTCTACCCAATTCTTCACAGGTCATATAACATTTCTGAGATACTTATTATCATCTAAGTGCACAGATTGTTCATTTCAGTATAACACTCCATTTGTACTTTACCTCATCAACACTTGTTTCAACTTTATCATTGGTTCATGTCAAAAGTCAAGGCAACTGTCAAGACTAAACACATAGGTGAATTGTACATACATGAAAGACATAAGCACATAAATAACATTGTCACTGTCAGCTTATGTCAAAGCCACTTGATACACAATGGAGATGTTCCCTTATATTGATAATATGATATTCATTTACTCAGATGAAGTAAATTGTTGAATAGAATCAATATTTGAATATTTGTCATGTATACTTGAATCTGATTATGTGAAAGGCAGTCACTCAGAACGCAGCAAGTATTTCAGTATGTCTACATGCCATCAGTATCAGTAAGAAAAATTACTAGTTGTAGTTGTGACATGTTTACAATTTTTTATGTAGTTTCAACAATCTATTTGTCAGTATTTAGCAAGGTCTTTAGTTAGACATGTTGGAAATATGTTTTCCAGAAAACCTGGAATGTAACAGTTGACATATTTCATTGGAGATATTACGTCTGTTTAAATGAATTTGACTGGAACAATACATATGAGGGAAATAGGACTGTGGAATAGGACTTTGTAGACTAAGTATGGGGTCGCAAAGTGTCCACAGAACTTTAATAACACAAACATGGTGTATCCAAATAGGTTAGTTTTTGTATACAAAATAGGTCATTTAGTCACACCAAGTGCTTATGTCACTGAATATAAGTGATCTTCTGTACCTGTATTACTTTTGTTAGTTTCTTTCTTGTTTTCACAGTATTGTAACCATTTTTTGTTGCAGACATTTTCCAAGACAAACAAGGGCCGTGTGAAGAAGAGCATATTTGCCACCCCTGATGGGGACAAGGGGAAGGTGGGCGTAGGGACGTGTGGAGTTGGGGGCAAGCCGATGACCGCGTATCAACACCAGGAAAAGTGGAAGAAATGACACACTTTCAGAAATTATCGGGAACTTTTGACTGCTCTTACAAGCTGCGAAGAAAAGGAATTTCGGACTCCGATGTCTGTTCAATTATATCTGTCTAAAAATACCATGTGAAATGTGTTCATATTTCAGAAATTAAGATACCAGACTTGAGACATCTTCAGTAGAAAAGGACTGTGACTAATGAAGGCATCCACTGATAAAGGATTACCATTGTGTACTGAAAGCACCCACTTATCCTGGTAGTGTTTTGTAGTGTTGTGACCAAGAGTGGTTGGACCTTCTGAGAAAGCAGATCCAAGTTGTGCACTGATCACGGGTGTGGACACTTCAGGCATCTTCTTTGGCTTGACACAGGTTATATTAGAGGATTAATAAAACATTCAAGGAACTTAAAATAAATTGATTTTTGTACTCTTGTCTTGTTTTATTAGGAGTTTTACTTTATCACTGAATACCATTACTAAATTATAAATTACATACTTTGTGATCTTGTTTAAGTGCTGTGATGGTACTGCTCTTGCATGACTTCTTTCAGTGGCATTTAGAAGTTGGTGTGATGAAGTAAGACAAGTTCTATGGATGAACAACTTCTTTATTACAATGAGTGCGACGTTTCGGTGTAGATCCTAACACCTTGCATGCTCTTGCATGGTTGATATAAAAGTGATGTCACAGTTCTAGGTTGTTCATGAAAGTCGTCCCGTGAAAATTCTTCTAGCAACCTATGCTTGTTGTAAGATGCGACTAACAGGATCGGGTGATCAGTTTCGTTGACTTGGTTGATTCATGTCATCGTATCCCTATTGTGTAGATCAACGCTCATAATGTCAGTCACTGGATTGTTTGGTCCAGACTCGATTATTTATAGACAGCCATATAGGTGGAATATTTCTGAGTGCAGCGTTAAACAACAGACAAACAAACAAAAGTTATGACACAGTTCCAGAATGTTATAAAAGTGATGCCACACTTCTAGGATGTCATGAAAGTCATGACACCTCTAGGTTGTGAAAGTCTTGACACACCTCTATGTTGTTATGAAAGTCATGACACAGTTCTAGGATGTTATGATAGTGATGACATCTCTAGGTTATGAAAGTGATGACACAGTTCTAGGATCTTATGATAGGATGTTACGAAAGGGAAGACACACTCCTATGGTGTTATGAAAGTCATGACACACCTCTAGAATGTTATGAAAGTCATAACATACCTCTGTGTTGTTATGAATAATGACGTCCTCGTTATTCAAGTTCTTCATCAACAAGGGAAAGCAATGCCTTGGAGATGCTGGTGCTGATGTGTCCAGTCACTGCCAGTTGTTCCAGGCGTCGACTTTTCTGCTGCCAGTCTGGGTCAAAAGTCTGGCTCATAACAATACTGAGTCTTCTGGCTCCTCTTCAGTGCTGCTGGTATGCTGAACTGATCCAATGGGCAGGAGATGGTTTCTATGCAGCGTCCTCTTCCTCCCCTCACCGGATTCTCTCTGTACTGCAAACAAAGGGATATCCTGGTTTGGTTGTAAGAGAACAACATGAGGATCTTCCTCCCAATTTATGCTTACCATCAAAGACTAAGGGTTTCACACAGAACTCGATCACCTGCCTGTACATTGTACCTGTACCATAGGCATGTCATCATGCTAGCTTGTGCTATATTGAGGTCAGATGGAATGGCAGATCCTGTAGTTGGTTGTATCTTCAAGACTTCAAGACTCTTTTATTCTGTAATAAAGGCCTCCAGCCCAGAGAACATGTGTATATAATCAAGTCACAACAATTTTAAATTACAAACAACAATTACAATCATTAAGAAAAGATCTGCTATAATCATCAAAAGTAAGTGAAGCACTCGTAAACTATATATAAAGTTGTCTCCCTTTAACTTCTGAGATAAACCTGCCTTGCCTGCGTGCATTTAACAATATACAGTGCTAAAGATCCTGACAAAGAATTATCTGTCATAACTTTCTCAAATTTGTCAAGAGTAGAAAGATTACTAGTGCAAATACTTGGCAAAAGCATATTTCTGAATTTGTTATACAAGTAACACGATGTAATAAAATGAACTTCATCCTCCACAATTGATACACTCAGATTATCAAAACAATATTTACATACTCTATCCTCTCTAGCAACTCCTCCCCACCGCCCAGTTTCAACAGCCAGTTTGTGGTTACCACATCTGAATCTACTAAGAACAATTCTTAAATTTTTACTCTTCATATTGTGCAAATACCTTTCAGGCACACTGATTTGATAATGGAATAATTATAAAGCTTACTTGTTTCACTTATAGATAGTGCCCATGTTTGTTTCCAACAATTCTGCAACCTTTCCCTACAAATTCTAAGGAAATGGGTTATGTCACCAACACCCTGTTCAAACCAAACTAGACCAAATCCAAGTATGTTCAACAGATATTTTATTCTAGTTGCCCATGTGGCTCTACCAGCCCCATCTAACTGATATAACATCAGATAGCAAGCCTTAGGATACCTATTTGTGGACATGTTTAATATTTTCAGCCAATACTTAATTGAATTGAACATGGTTGTTACATGTAATGGATACCGTCCTAGCTCCCCATACAAGACTGCTGCTGGAGTGTTTGAATTAACATGGAGAACTTTTCTAAGAAATTTGCAGTGCACATTTTCTATAACTTGGACACTTTCAAATCCCCAAACACATGATGCATAACATAAGACTGGAGAAACCATCCTATCAAATAGAAACAAGGACTCTTAAATGTTAAGCTTAGACTTTTTCAAGAATCCAAACAAAATATACAGAGCTTTTTCTCCTTCTTGTGCCAGGGTACTTCTTGCCAAACTCCATGAGAGCTCAGGAGTGAAAAACACACCAAGATACTTATAAGCGGATACTGCTTCCAGAGGAATACCATCATAATACCACTTTTCCTTTTTTGTTACTATACCACCTCTTCGGAATACCAAAATTAACCTTCATCCCATACTGACTGCAAAATCCTGCTAGACAATCTATCTGGTGCTGTAACCTTCTAACAGAATCTCCAACATTAGCAATATCATCTGCAAACATTATCAAAGTGATGTTTTCAGCATACTCATTGACAAAAATACCCTTGCAATCATTAAACCTGTAATTATCTCCTAGCACCTGTAATTATCTCCTAGCTCATTCAAAAACAGTGAATAACAGTGGGCTTATCATCAACCCCCCCCCCTGCCTGGTTCCTATTGTACACTCAAAGAACTCAGACAGTGAGGACTTGTTAACTAGAACACATGATTTTAGCTGACTATACAGAGATGAGATCACTGTGAAAAATTTACCTTTTACACCTTTTTGTAAAAGTACATATTTCAATAAATGGTGCTGGACGCTGTCAAATGCCTTCTAAAAGTCTATGAATAAACAATAGCAGCCCCCTTTTGACTTGGAGAGGTATTTCTGAATAACTGATTGTAATACAAATATATTGTCTATGGTGCTATATCCATTTCTGTAGCCAGCTCGTTCCTCATACAGGTTTTCTTTTTCTTCACACCAGCCAACAAGTCGATTACTTAGTATTTTGGTAAAGGCCTTTCCAATTACTGATAACAAAGATATTCCCCTATAATTTTTAGGATCTGTTTTTTTTCACCTTTTTTATGAATAGGAAATATTATTGCCTCTGTCCATTGTGATGGGTAAACTCCAACAGATAAAATCTTGTTAAATAACCTGTGGATATGTGGTAAAAGTATATGAGATACACTTTTTAAATGTTCATTTAAAATTCCATCAGGTCCTGGCGCTTTGCCGTTGGGGAGATAATTAATTACAGATCTAATTTCCTCCATAGTAATAGTCTTATCTAAAACTTGTACACCCTCAACATTGTCACAACAGGCTGTGTGATCTTCATTATCCCTGATAAATTTATGTACATGTTCACAGAAGTCAGGGTCAGTGATGAAAAATGATCATACCATTCCTCTGGTGAAATTGCTTCACTGCAAGACCTCCCTTGCCTGTTGTAGCGTTTGATGAATTTCCATAAGTCCCGTGTGGTCACACCCTCATTATTTATCACCCGCATTACATCTGGTTTATCCGCCATGTCATATCTGGCTTTTTTTTGTTTACATGCATTCTTAAATTCATTTCTTGATAAAATGTAATTCTTGAAGTTAATGTTAGAACAAGATAATCTAAACTTGTCTAAACACTTATATTTTTCACCTTTGAGAATCACATTCATGGTCCCACCACTTGGGCTGTCTAGGGGAACGCCCCTCTGACCCCTTATTTGGTTTCATACCACTTAAAATAGCACATTTACAAATAACTTCAGACAAGTTGCTTACTGCCGCATTAATGTCATTATCATCCAGATTCTTTACAAATGTCATTTGCAGCTCGCTGTTGCATGTTTCATTTACAAGTTGGTCAACATATAGCTGGCTGGAGTTTGGTTTCCAATTTAGCTTATTCCATGACTTTAACTGCTGGCCTGTCTTGTGTGGATTAACTTTAGGGATTAAAGTAAGTCTACATGTCACTGGTAGGTGATCTGATTCTGGTATGGCAAGTATGTCAAAATCTGAAACACTTTTGTACAAACTTGTAGAAACCAAGACATAGTCTATTACACTCTTTCCAGTATGTGAGATGAAAGTGAAATTACCACACCTATCTCCTCCAGATCTTCCATTTAGCATGTGTAGTCCCATCACTCGACATAGTGTTAGTAGTGATCGTCCAAATAAATTCACAACATTATCCTTGGATATTCTTCAAATGTTAAAACAGTCAGTATCATATTCTGCATCCAGGTATGTGATGTCATCATCAATTATAAAATCTTGCTCAAGTCCAACCCTCGCATTCAAATCACCTATTACAGTAAACTGTATATTGTCACCATACTCAGATATGACAGTCATTAGTTGAATCTGGAGGCTCTCAATCCCATTTGTCTCATCTACAGTCCTGTAATACGTTGAACTTTCTGGAGGGATATAATTGAAACACAATACTGTTTTCATGTCAAATGTACAAGTGGTCCCATCAAACAATAAGAATATTCCATTTGCATAATAGGCAATGTTTTTCCGAACATATACACATATTCCCCCAGCTACACGCCCTGAACCTGAGTACTCCCTTGCAGCTCAATAGTGAGAATATCCAGGTAATAAGTCTGAGAATTCAGTTTCTGATCTACAAAAAGTTTCATACAACCCAAGAATGTCAAATTTCATAAACATATTCACAATAACACTATTTACAAACTTCGTTGGTTGTATCATCGCACATGTATCCCTGTAAAAGAGAGGTTTAAAAATATAACTCTTGATAACTCCAGTGTTGGATAGTATTATGAGTAGTTCCATGTCAGCAGTTTTAATCTTTCCAAGTGAGAAGTTGTTTATTGAC